AATATAACATAATATAAATATATATATATATATATATAATATAACATAATATATATACATATATATATATATATATATATATTACATCGCAATGTAAACGCTGTGCCCTTCGTCATGAATTCAGCCGGCCTCTCCCACCGCATATCAATATTCAATCATGCGAAGGGCGTTATACGTCACTTATAACATGACTTTAAAATGTGCACAAAATAAGAAGTACTATACGCAAATGTTCCTAGGTCCTCATTACATACACGCTCAGTTCCGACAGATCAAGGTAAAATCTTATCAGCCACTCTCAACATTCCGAGTTGTGAAGCATGTGAATAATTCATAGGGTCCCCAGGACAAACCCAAGTCCAAAATAGAAAGGATTTGAATTAACATATCTAAAAACTCTAAAGCCTGAGTTTTGACGCATCGGTATATCCACAAATAATCAAATGCGGGAGAGAAGTCTACTGCATGTTTATTTGTGAATTCTACAGCTCGCCTCTCAAAAACGCCATCTCTAGACCATCCAAGGGTTGCCAGATCACTAATTCTCACAGACAACCTCGTGTCGTATCTCAACAAGGACACCACCTTCCGACCGGCAACGTTCGCATCAATGTCCACAGAGGAGCATGAGCTCAAAAAACCGTGTAGGATACGCTTGCATACATGATATGTGTGTTAGCAACGCACGCGTGTGTAGTGTGCAGTGATGGTGTGCTAGGCAGAGATGTCGATCCATGGACAGCAACCAGCTTAACGGTTCGCCTGTGGAGACCAAGGAAAGTACACAGAAATGAGCGTACGGTTTATAGTAAAACTGTATAGGTGAAGTATAGGCACAGATACATATTCGTGGACATATATCCATGACTATCATGACGACAAGCAGACTCAAGGCTCTGCATACTTACCACACACACACATATATATATTCATAGAAACAAATACACACACCCTCCTCACCTCAGCACACACACACATCCACAGATGTGAAATCGTGTACGAGCTTACAAACACGCGCGAACCCACAAACGTACCTTGTACTTCTGGAACTCGATGGCGATGAAGGGCACAGCGAAGGAGATAGTTGAGCACACAATCAGAGTGATAGCCATGCGTGGCTTGTTCAGAATCTGAAACGGCAACGCACAGCCAACGGGACGACCATCGGGGAACTTACCAGTGGCTCTGAGGACACTGGATACGAGGTGTATTAGACGTATGGAGTAATTCGTACGGTGTAAACATCGAGGTTACTTTGCTATGAGGGTGTAGAAGGGCTGCCAGGGTCAGAATATTGAGTAGAATTTGCAGTGGAAACTACAGCAAGTAATATATCCATACTACACGAATGTTTGATCAGGTCTATGACGAAAAACGTTTGATATTACAAAAAAAATACGAACATATACGAACATATATATATATCAATATATCTATATGCTGCAAATGTAATCAATCGTGTTTATGTATAGTTTGTTACGTCAACTACGTATGTTGGCCTACTAATGCATGTAATTTAGCTACATGTAAAAGTGTAGCCACATGTGAATGAAATATCGGAAAAGTTGGCAACCGCATAATACACGAAACATAGTGGAAACACAAGCAATAGTCGAAGAAAAAAGGGGAACAGAAAGAATAAAACAGTATAAATGCACACGCACACACACACACACACATATATATAGTTATGAATTTATGATATGTGTATAATGTCTATGACAGAAGCAACTATGACAGAGGCAACAAATATATATGTATATATATACCTATATAAACGAGTCATATTTTAAAAAATGATACAGATACTTATACTACGTATAATACACATACACATACCAAATATATATATACTATACACTATATACTATATATATATGTATGTAATTGTATAGATGTGTGCTATACATGTAATGATATGGATAGAATATAAATACAAACGCACAGATATTGAGGCATACTACTGCTCCGAAATATAGCAGCACGAATTCAGAACAAAGATACACAAATACACACAAGAAACGAATCTATTTAACAGCAATGCATACTTATATATATATATGTATATATGCACACACACACACACACAAATATATATACATATAATATATATATATATATATGTATAGATAGATATAGATATATATGTGTGTGTTATGTAATACACAAAATGCACGGTGTGTACAAGGTCCAGTGCCGCTAACCGCGTACAAGTACAAACTGGTAAGTCGAGCCCTCTCACGAAAGTTCCAAGCCTTGCCAGTAAATAAATACACATAGATACGTATCTATACGACCATGATACTACCTATGTTTACATGACTCCATATTTCCGTATAAGAATATGGAGAACACAAGCCGTCCTTAAGCCTGTACACACCTGTTAACATCGCTAGATCCAGCAATGCGGCGTGTGGCCCTGGCAAGGGTCTGACCTTGACTGGCAGTAGTCAGTCGTGAACCGAGAACGCGAAGAGCAGACATACTAACAAACTGTATGGGTAACTTTAAAAACTTGCTGTCTAGGTATATGGGGTCCGTGATTCTGTCTATCGGAGAACTTTAATAGTTTATAAAGTATGTGGTTATAAATAGCAGCTATTATAAAATTGCTGCTAGTGCGTGCCTGTGCGGCCTGTTCTCGAGTCTCGAACTGTAAGCTCTACAGAGGCGGCTGTAGGCCTATTGTCATAGTCAACCACAATCAATATAGCTCAATAGTACTTTGTGAATTTGGGCTTACTATTTGGGCAATGTAAATATTGTAGTTGACTCATACCATTTGTTTTGGGTCTCATTAATGACCTGCTTGTGTCATATTTGCACCTACAAATCAAACAGGACTCCAGAGTCAAAGACTAGCAGGGCTGGATTCCAACCTAAAAATAGGTCTAAACTTTGGCAATTTGTTATATATGTTATAGACTGGTCTATAAATAGAAAAACAAAAAAATAATTTAAAAATGAGAAAGTATTTTACGACATTATAGTTGGGCTACGGAATGGATATGGACGAGTTGATATCGTTGTGAATTTAAAACATTAAATTTAGATACAGTTTAAAATATATAGAAGGGTTGCTTTGAAAATAGAACAATACTCGTCTATTTTAGAAGAAGGCTTTGAGTATTTTTGGATTCAGAAATGACTACATACTCAATTTGGAAGTACCAATCTTTCCTTTTGACAATGCTATTTATTTTTGGGATTGAATACCTACAAATTGTCTAATTTTCAGAAGGCTATGACAAATTCTATTATTGGTTCTATGATCCAAATATATATATTTACATCATTATTTACAAGTGGAATAGTATGGGGGCTTTTTATGTGCCTATTACAAAAATACTTTTGGCGGCAATTTAACACCCCATTCCAATCACTACCTCTCATTTTAGTATTTTGGGGTGCTAAACATTAGATGCTCATGTGATCTCTAAACTCTAGTCTTTTATATGTATTTTTTGACACCCAAGAGAATAGCCTGAATCGCCTTAGGGATTTTAAATATATGGTACTGTAACCCATGCTTGCTTGTGTATTATAAAGAGGAACAACTAAGTGAATAATAAATCATAGAATACATTGCAATTTAAACACAATGGCAGACGAGAGTGACCCCGGCTTTTGTTACTCAGTCGATACATTCGGTAAAAAGTTAGACTTCAAGAAAGATGAGGACGTACAGAAAGTAGTCGAGGAAATCAAAGCGTGTAAGAATTTGACTTCAATACGGCTCAGCAACACAAGTGTGAGCATAGAGGCCGCCAAGGCAATTGCGGATGCCATAGCAGAACACTACGAAATAGAAGTAGGTTTAAGTACTGCTGATGATTGGTTATTCATATATATATATATATATATATATATATATATATACACACACACACTAATATATATATATATATATATATATATATATAGTATATATATACTATATATATATAGTAGATACATATATATATATATATAATATATATATAATAT